ATATTATTTGTCCAACCAAAATGATTATAGCAGTCACAGTCACAACTGTGACATTTATAGTCAATTATTTTACCTGATAATAGTCAATTATAATTTTGTTAATATAGTAATATTCAACTTCTTTATTAATTATTGGACGTTTGTCCTACTTAAATAGGGAGTGATTCTTAATAATATTTAATTAATATTAACAAATTCGGAAGTATTTAAGTTATGTTAAATTGTAGTTTTAATCTCCATGATATTTAGCGCCATCTATAATATTATATTATATTTTAAATAGCATATTTCTAAGTTGAAATGTAAATATTTTGTCTTAATTGATGTCAAATATATTGTTCTTTCTATGTATCTATAATTTATCTATCTATCTATCATAGCAATTTTAAGCCAATTTAGACCATATTAGCAAAATGGATTTAATCTCCTATAAATCATGGAAAGCATTTCAGAAGTATTTTGAGGCAATAGGCAGGAAGGAACATTAGTATAAAAAAAATGTTTGCAGATAATCCTACAAGAGCTAAGGAATTCAAATCTATGATATATATATTCAATAAAAATCATCATAGCTTAAACATATCAAACACGCATTCATAAACCAAATCGAACCGCCATTTTCAAAAAAAGAATTTCAATACAAAAAACAATTACAAAACATATAATAATTACAATAATTGATATTTTTTTTAACAGACACAACATCGAGCAAAACCTTCCATCATCAGTAAATAATTATATTTTTTAGACACCACATCGAGCAAAACTATATACTTTCAATTTACACATCTTAATCTTGAAGATACTGAAAATCAAGAACAAGTTGAACATTACATATACTTACGTTTTATCTGAGCATCTTATTTTATATTTGAAAATTCATTTATCTATTCTATTTTACCCACGTTAAGTGGCAGATTTAGGGAAGTTAAAATTTTTATAAATACTATTTTTTAGATTCCTGCACAAAAAACAAACTTACATAATAAATACATATAATATTAGATAAGTTTTTTAAGGTTATCTCATAGGCAATGTAAGTTAAAATTTTTATAAATACTATTTTTTAGATTCCTGCACAAAAAACAAACTTACATAATAAATACATATAATATTAGATAAGTTTTTTAAGGTTATCTCATAGGCAATGTAAGTTAAAATTTTTATAAATACTATTTTTTTAGATTCCTGCACAAAAACAAACATACATAATAAATACATATAATATTAAATAAGTTTTTTAAGGTTATCTCATAGGCAATGTAGTTAAAATTTTTATAAATACTATTTTTTTAGATTCCTGTACAAAAAACAAACTTACATAATAAATACATATATTAAATAAGTTTTTTAAGGTTATCTCATAGGCAATGTAATTTAAATTTTATAAATACTATTTTTTTAGATTCCTGCACAAAATACAAACTTACATAATAAATACATATAATATTAAATAAGTTTTTTAAGGTTATCTCATAGGCAATGTAAGTTAAAATTTTTATAAAAACTATTTTATTATTTTTTTTAGATTCCTACACAAGATACCATTCAACAAAACCAAACAATGGAACGTTTCATACTACCAAAATCTAAAGAAGGCATTATTGCTTCAACAAGAGTAAATTTTATATTTTTTTTAATTTGTATTGTATGTTAGCTGATAGCCCGTCAAGAATGACGAGGAATCAGATTTTTCCTATCTTATAAGATGTGATTCCGAAATATATATTTATTAGGTGAGGGGCTATTCTAATATTTTCCATTATTTTTTATAAATATGTTTATGAAGTATATATTTAGTAATTTTATTTTATGTCCACAATAATAAATATTTTAAACTAAACTTATTTTTATAAAATTGAGTAATTCTTATATTTTTAAATTTTAATAATAAATCAACATAAGGAGAAAGCTAAGGCACTTTGTCGTATTAAGAAAAGGAACGAGCAAAGTCTTATTCCTACAACATCCAACCATCTTGAAGATACTGGAAATAAACAATTTGCTTCAACATCCAATCATCGATACTGAAAATCAAGAACAAGTTGAACATTACTGTGGACCATTAAAATCTATTTTATTATTTTTTTTAGATTCCTACACAAGATACCTTTGGTGCAATATCTAAGTATAATTTTTTCAGTGATCCTATATCAATAAAAACAAATCAAGTTAAAAATTTTAATTTATGACAATAAATAAATTTATTTAAATTAGATTCCACGGATCATATTGCCGAATGCCATTCAAAGGTCTCTTAATCTACCCAAATCAATAAAAACAAACGAAGTTAAAAAATTTAATTTATGTTATCAAATAGATTTTTTTAAAATTAGATTCCACGATATATATTACCGAAATGTACCATTCAGCAGAATCTTAATCTACCAAAATCAATCAAAATAAACCAAGTTAAAAATTTTAATTTATGTTAACAAATAAATTTATTTAAATTAGATTCTACGAATCATATTACCGAAATGTACCATTCAACAGAATCTTAATCTACCCAAATCAATAGAAACAAACGAAGTTAAAAATTTTAATTTATGTTAACAAATAAATTTTTTTAAATTAGACACTACCAAAATCTACTATTCACCAAAATCTTAATCTACCCAAATCAATAAAAACAAACCAAGTTAAAAATTTTAATTTATGTATAACAAATATTTTAATAAATATAAATTTCTGAATCACATCTCATAAGATAGATAGATAAGAAAATTTTTGATTTATCCATCATCAGGGGTTATTCAAAATTTATTATTTATTTATGAAGTATATGGTTATTAATTTTAATTTATGTCCACAATAAAAAATATATTTCATCAACTAATAAAAAAGAAAATTCTTATTTCACTATCATCTTGACGGGCAAAATATAAGATAAAATTAGTATGTGCTACATAATCGTAATTACCCATGGAATATTTTAGAAAAAATTATTATAAGCCTGGCATATGTTTACATCAGAGCCGGTGTATTGATTGTGAAATCAATACCCATTGTAACTTCAATACCGTATTGATATCATTATAGATTCAATACCGTAGTGATATATTGCTATTGTAGAATCAATACCGTATAGATTTTTAAGATGTTTGCTTCGCTTCAAATATATTGGAGACCATTAAAATTATAAAATATTTATTTATTATATATTTTTTCATCGCTTTATAAATATTGGTGGCCATTTTCGATTTGTAAAAATTTTATTTAAAATAGATTTAATAGTTTTAAATATATTAAAATGATAAATATGATTTTCTATTCTTTTATATAATTTATCAAGGAATTTATTTATTTTACAATTCTTGATATCCTATATATTTTATATTTGTTTACTCATTATTTGTAATTTGTGAAGTGCTATATAATTGTTGATTCAAAGTTTTATAAATGATATTATGAATTCAAATAAATTAAATGGACCTTATTGATTGAGTTTATAAAATTTTGTGATTCATATATAAATGTCGAATCAAAGATTTATAAAAATCAATAACGTATTGATTTTTGATGGTATTGATTTTACAATTACACCGGGTCTGCAGGTCTCTGAATAATCACAAAAATATTAAATTATATGTATAATTTTTAGCAGGCCTCAAATTTATTTTATTTATTTTAGATAAATATTTCTGCACAACAATCATTAGTACAAGAACATTATTGTGGATTACTCAACACTAAGTGCGATTATTGCGATTCTCTAAATTTTTTATTGGAAAAACCCACAGATGGCAAATTTAAGAATTGCTGTCATAAGGGTAAAGTTAAGATACCATCAATCCGATAAATTCCTTTTTTACAAGACCTTTTATCTAATCCTAACAATGAATTTCATTCAAACTTTATGAAATATATAAGATCTTATAATAGTTCACTTGCGTTCGCATCCATGGGAGCACAGATTTCTAATAGTTTAAACCCAGGCCCATATTGTTTTAGAGTTCATGGGCAAATTTATCACCGAACATCTCATTTATATCCTTCCACTGGGATGCCTCCTAAATTTGCACAACTATATGTCATTGAGACCTCCCAGGCTGTTAATGGCAGGTTAAACATGAAAGAAAATTCTGGTTGCAATAAGGATCTCTTAAAAAGATTATATATTTTAATAAGACAGAATAACCCATTTTCTATTAGTTTTAAAACCTTGGGAAAAATTGAGAAAGAAGAAAAAAATAGGGCTATTCAAGAAAATCGTCCAGTTCAAAAAATCAATATGATTTTTCGTGCAGATCGCTCGAGTGACAAGCGAAGATATAACATTCCTAATATAGATGAAGTAGCTATGATTTTTACAAATGATGATGGTGAACCCCCATTTAAACGGGATATCAAGGTCTATCCTCGAGTTGATGGTAGTGATCTTATAAATATAAATATATTAAGCCCTAATCTTGATCCAATGGTATATCCTCTATTATTTCCTTTTGGTGACCCTGGTTGGAAACCAGATTTAAAGGGTGAAGATACAGGGCGTACAAGGGCAAATATCTCACTACTACAGTTTAAAATATTTAGATTAGCAATTCGTGAAAATGAAATCAACCCAATCCTTTTTGCTGGGAAATTATCACAACAATATATTGTTGATTTCTATTTACAGGTCGAGGCGAATAATTTAAATTTTATTAGACAAAATCAGCCAAAATTACGAGTAGATGAATATTCTGGATTAATGGACTACTTGGAAACAAAGTCAAACAATATAATTCCCGGCAAAGCAGTAATATTACCATCATCTTTTCAAGGTTCTCAAAGAAATATGCGAGAACGCTATCACGATGCAACGGCCATTGTGCTCAAATTTGGCAAACCTGATGTTTATTACTTTTACATGCAATCCTAATTGGCGTGAAATTAAGGAAAATCTATTTCCCGGGCAAAGTCCTACAGATAGACCAGATTTAATAGCCCGTGTTTTTAAATTGAAATTAAATGAATTATTGTTCGATATAAATAAAAAAAAATTATTTGGTAAATCTATGGCTTTTATATATACAATCGAGTTCCAAAAAAGAGGTTTGCCTCATGCCCATATACTTATTATTTTAAACGATGATAGCAAAATTGAAACATCTCAAGCTATAGATAAATTTGTTTGTGCCGAAATGCCAGATAAAATTCTCGATCCTAAACTTTTTCAGATTGTTACCCATTTTATGATACATGGTCCTTGCGGGATATTTAACCCCAAATCGCCTTGCATGGAAAATGGCATATGTACCAAAAAATTTCCGAAGGATTTTCAAATGGAAACAAGACCAAATATTGATGGGTATCCATATTATAAAAGGCGAGATAATGGTATTACAATTCTTTCCGGTAAATCTACGGATAATCGTTATGTTATTCCATATAATCGATATCTAATGTTAAAATTCAATGCTCATATTAACGTGGAAATTTGTACATCTATTAAATCGGTAAAATATATCTTTAAGTATATTTATAAGGGCTATGACTGTACTAATGTTGACATTAATGTTGCTTCAAATATAAATATTCATGACGAAATTAAATCACATTTAAATGCGCGATATGTGAGTGCATGTGAATCAATGTGGAGATTATTAGAAAATAATATGCATGACCGCTCGCACGCTGTTATTCGCTTAGGAATTCATTTACCTTTACAACAGCCAGTATATTTCACTGCTGGACATGTAAGAGATGCTTTATTGAGATCAGAAAATAAACATACTACTTTAACGGCATGGTTTGAGTTAAATAAGAAAGATCTAAATGCTAGACAATATTTTTATGGGGAAATACCTTATCATTATGTGTTTACAAATTACCATTGGGAACTAAGAAAAAAACGATTAAATGTAATTTCGAGAATGTATTCCGTTCATCCTAATTCTGGTGAACGATTCTTCCTTCGATTATTATTACTTCATGTTTGCGGGGCTACAAGTTTTGATTATTTAAAAACTATTAATGGAATTTTAATGAGTACTTTTAAAGAGGCAGCTATTAAAAGAAATTTGTTATCAGATGATAAAGAGTGGGAATCATGCTTAGAAGAGGGATCAATATATCAATTGCCGTCACAACTTCGGAGTACTTTTGCCTTTATCTGCATTTTTTGTCAGCCTGAAAATCCTGCATATCTATGGAATAGGTTCAGATTTATGATGATTGAAGATTATTTGCGTCAATATTTAGAAGTAATTGCAATAAACATGGCTTTAATGGACATTGAAAACGTTTTTCTTGATCATGGTTTATGCTGTCAAAGTTTTGATCTTCTTTCACCTACAAAAATCCCCCCAAAACAACATTATGATGCCCATGTTGAAGCTGCCGATTCAATCGAGCGTATATCTAAATTAAACCGATTACAAAAATATGCTTTTGATTTAATTATACAAGCGATTGAATTAGAAAATATTCCAGAAAGATATTTCTTCGTGGATGGCCCTGGAGGTTCAGGTAAAACGTATCTTTACAATACCTTAATGTGTTATATAAGAGCAAAAAATCAAATTGTATTGCCTTTTGCAACCACCGGCATATCCTCTATTCTTTTAAAGGGGGGAAGAACCATCCATAGCGGATTTAAATTACCTGTGCCTATCTTTGAAACTTCTACATCCCATATGAATTTACATAGTTCGCTAGCTCTAGATATTAAAAATAGCAAATTGATTATTATTGATGAGGCCACAATGATGACTAAACAAGCTTTGCGATGCATTGACCGATTACTTAAAGACATTATGAAAAATTCCCACCCATTTGGCTGAAAAGTAATTTTTTTAGGTGGTGATTTTAGACAGACTTTACCAGTAGTGCCTAAAGGCTCCAAAGTCGATATTATAGAGTCCTGTATAAAAAGTTCATATTTATGGAGTCATTTTAAAATAATACATTTGATTGATAATATGCGTATTTCATCAGATAAGTTGATTACAATGCTTGGTTACTTAAAATTGGAGATGGGCTATCACGCAGCAATTCTGATCTTCCTACAAATAGTGTTGAAATCCCACCTTATTTGCTTGAAAATGATTCATTAATAAAATGTGTGTATGGTAATTCTATAGAAATTGCTGATATAGATTGTCCTTCTACTAAAATAATATTAACCACAAAAAATAAAATTGTACTTACCCTCAACAACGATATCATTAATATAATTTCAGGCCCTATCAAACATTATTATAGTGCAGATTCCATTGAAAGCGATAATAAGGATGATATAATGAATTTTCCACTAGAATTTTTGCATTCACAAACTCCATCCGGTATGCCACCTCACAAGCTAACACTTAAGGTTGGTACAATTGTTATGCTATTACGCAATTTGAGCCCAAAGAAAGTTTCATATTTGTAATTTAAAAAGAATAAACCTTCATAAATTGAATAAAAGAATCTACATGATTTTATAATTAATGGAGATTCAGATATAATTATTGAAATTTTATTTAATTTAACGTATATATTTTATTGGAATAAGAGTATCGCCTCTGATGGCGTTACTCTGAGATAAAATCTTGTTAACTTTTTTTTATATTTTTTTTTATTATTATAAAATTAAATTAAATCAAAAGTTTTTATAAAATGAAAAAGTGATCTTTACAATTTCGTTAATGTAATAAATATCATTAATCATTTACATAAAAATTAATACATCTGTTAAAATAAATCACTTTATCAAATAAAATATACATTAAAAAAGTGTACATTACAACACGCCACCCACTACTAAACCCGAGTGTTAGGGGTGATTGATAATATATGACCAATAATATACGAAATATAAATACACATCTGACGTTTTTCATTTACTCCAAACTATATATTTAAACATTCCGCTTATTTTGGTGTCTATAAAAATTTCGCCAAAAATATATTATCTTGATCGACTTTATAATAAGAATTAAGAAATGCGGTTTTTTTTGTCCAAAGGAGGACGCCGTTTTAGTCGTCTCACGAATAAGAATAAAAATATTATATAATTTCTCCGGCTACAATTTCTCTGTAATACCGTAAATTTATATTTCGAATAAAGAAGAGAATATATTTTTTTAAATATTTCATCGTAATTTTCTCCAATTCGAATACAGAATATAATGCAAACAATTTTTACTCAAAATTTTCATACACATCTCCCCATTATTATCGGTAAATCATTTAATATAATTTCGAATGATTTCTCAAACATTATTTGAATATCCCGGAATAATTTCCTTATATTCTTGAATAATTTTATATAAGGATTTAAATTGAATTTTTTTTTAGCGAAGTAAACATAACGTATACAATATCTTTACTAAAAAATGGTTTTTATAAAAATTTCATTTCTTTGAAAGAATACCAATGAATAATGTAATAGATAATATAGTAGGTTAGGTAAAGATTTCGAATAATTTGATGCATATATTTTATTCCGCTATTACTTTAATAATAATATTCACTTGAAAACCTCCTCCCAACAAAACAAATATCGAATCAGATCCTTTATGAAAGTCCCTGCTTTAATATTTATTATTTTATTTTATCTTAATAATATTAATTCCCAATTTTGGAATATTTATCTTTTTTTTATTTTACCTTTATAATATATTAATTCCCAATTTTCGAATATTCATCTTTTATATTTTACCTTTATAATATATTAATTTCCAATGTTGGAATATTCATCTTTTTTATTTTACCTTTATAATATATTAATTTCCAATTTTGAAATATTTATCTTTTTTTTTATTTTACCTTTATAATATATTAATTACCAATTTTGGAATATTCATCTTTTTTATTTTACCTTTATAATATATTAATTTCCAATTTTGGAATAATTTGCCTATAGTGGCCTTCTCTCAAAGTCGAATACAAATGAGAATATACTGCACCTGAAAGAGTGATCATTTCGCCGCATTGATAATATAGTGGTAATAAAATTGCGAATTGTGACTATGTGTATGAAAATTTTGAGTATAAATTGTTTGCATTATATTCTGTATTCGATTTGGAGAAAATTATGATGAAATATTTAAAAAAATATATTCTCTTCTTTATTCGAAATATAAATTTACGGTATTACAGAGAAATTGTAGCCGGAGAAATTATATAATATTTTTATTCTTATTCGTGAGACGACTAAAACGGCGTCCTCCTTTGGACGAAAAAAACCGCATTTCTTTATTCTTATTAGTGATCGAATCAAACGGCGTCCTCCTATGGACATAAAGCCGCATTTCTTAATTCTTATTATAAAGTCGATCAAGATAATTTATTTTTGGCGAAATTTTTATAGACACCAAAATAAGCGGAATGTTTAAATATATAGTTTGGAGTAAATGAAAAACGTCAGATGTGTATTTATATTTCGTATATTATTGGTCATATATTATCAATCACCCCTAACACTTGGGTTTAGTAATGGGTGGCGTGTTGTAATGTACACTTTTTTAATGTATATTTTATTTGATAAAGTGATTTATTTTAACAGATGTATTAATTTTTATGTAAATGACTAATGATATTTATTACATTAACGAAATTGTAAAGATCACTTTTTCATTTTATAAAAACTTTTGATTTAATTTAATTTTATAATAATAAAAAAAAAATATAAAGAGAAAGAGAAAGTTAACAAGATTTTATCTCAGAGTATCGCCATCAGAGGCGATACTCTTATTCCAATAAAATATATACGTTAAATTAAATAAAATTTCAATAATTATATCTGAATGATCCATTAATTATAAAATCATGTAGATTCTTTTATTCAATTTATGAAGGTTTATTCTTTTTAAATTACAAATATGAAAATTAAAATTAAATTGAAAATAAATTAATTAATAAAAAGTTATTTCATATGAAAATTAAATTAAACTGAAAATAAATTAAATTGCAAATTTCCTTACCTTGATTAATTTAATGTTTGGTATATTCCTTGCTAACTAAATATTTTCTTGATCTTGGTCTCTTTATTGATTTCGTAAATAATTTTTCCAAAAATCAAATCTTCTTACAAAAATCAATTAATAAAAAAAATCCTTTTCCTTTGTTGCCACTGTATTTTTTTTCACAAAAATCAACAAAATACATGGCTAACAACAGGTTCATAATATATATGTATATTATAATAATATAAGAATGTTAATTAATATTAAAATTAAATGATAGTTAAGATATTACAACACTTTTAATACAATTATGAATAATCATTTAATATGTTATATTGTACACTTTTTTAATGTATATTTTATTTGATAATATTTTAACAGATGTATTAATTTTTATGTAAATGACTGATGATATTTATTACATTAACGAAATTGTAAAAATCACTTTTTTCATTTTATATAAACTTTGGATAATTTAATTTTATAATAATAAAAAAAATATAAAGAGAAAGTTAACAAAATTTTAACTCAGAGTATCGCTATCAGAGGCGATACTCTTATTCCAATAAAATATATACGCTAAATTAAATAAAATCAATTTATGAAGGTTTATTCTTTGGAATATTCATCTTTTTTATTTTACCTTTATAATATATTAATTTCCAATTTTGGAATATTTATCTTTTTCTTTTATTTTACCTTTATAATATATTAATTACCAATTTTGGAATATTCATCTTTTTTATTTTACCTTTATAATATATTAATTTCCAATTTTGGAATAATTTGCCTATAGTAGCCTTCTCTCAAAGTCGAATACAAATGAGAATATACTGCACCTGAAAGAGTGATCATTTCACCGCATTGATAATATAGTGGTAATAAAATTGCGAATTGTGACTGCAATAACCCTTATGGAACATTTGCTTTACACGGCACCATTTTCATATTTGTAATTTAAAAAGAATAAACCTTCATAAATTGAATAAAAGAATCTACATGATTTTATAATTAATGGAGATTCAGATATAATTATTGAAATTTTATTTAATTTAACGTATATATTTTATTGGAATAAGAGTATCGCCTCTGATGGCGATACTCTGAGATAAAATCTTGTTAACTTTCTCTTTATATTTTTTTTTATTATTATAAAATCAAATTAAATCAAAAGTTTTTATAAAATGAAAAAGTGATCTTTACAGTTTCGTTAATGTAATAAATATCATTAGTCATTTACATAAAAATTAATACATCTGTTAAAATAAATCACTTTATCAAATAAAATATACATTAAAAAAGTGTGCATTACAACAGAAAGGACTTTGTAATGGTACCCGTTTAATCATACGACATTTACATATTAATTTTATCGACGCTGAGGTATTGACAGGCACTAATAAGGGTTATCGAGTTTTTCTCCCACGAATAGATCTAGCTCCAAGTGACTCTCAGTTACCATTTACTTTAAAAATATGACAGTTTCCTATAATTCCCGCTTTTGTGATTTCAATAAATAAAAGTCAGGGACAAACTTTTGATCATGTAGGCTTATTCCTCCCTGAGCTCGTCTTTGCCCATGGACAACTATATGTGGCTCTTACTAGATGTAAATCTCAAAATAATATGAAAATTATGATTTTGCCATCAGAATTACAAAGAAAAATTTTAAAAAATGATAAAACATTCACACAAAATATCGTATATAATGAAATCTTAAATTCATAATTTGTAAGAAATTTAAAAAAGTCACCAACTTTGTTATTCACCATCAAATCACCAACTTTACATCATCTTCAAAAACTAAACCACCTTGAGCAAAGAAAAGAGAACTTCTTCACCATCGCTAAACCATCTTCCTCACCAAAAACAGTATATTCTATTTATAATTTCAATTTACACGTTTTATTTCAGGTTATTTACAGCAAACTACGAGCAAGAAAATCACAACATCATCTTCAAAAACGAAACCACCTTGAGCAAAGAAAAAAGAACTTCTTCACCATCGCTAAACCATCTTCCTCACCAACAACAGTATATTCTATTTTATAATTTCAATTTACACGTTTTATTTCAGGTTATTTACGGCAAACTACGAACAAGGAAATCACAACATCATCTTCAAAAACGAAACCACCTTGAGCAAAGAAAAGAGAACTTCTTCACCATCGCTAAACCATCTTCCTCACCAACAACAGTATATTCTATTTAATTTCAATTTACACGTTTTATTTCAGGTTATTTACGGCAAACTACGAGCAAGGAAATCACAACATCATCTTCAAAAACGAAACCACCTTGAGCAAAGAAAAGAGAACTTCTTCACCATCGCTAAACCATCTTCCTCACCAACAACAGTATATTCTATTTTATAATTTCAATTTACACGTTTTATTTCAGGTTATTTACGGCAAACTACGAACAAGGAAATCACAACATCATCTTCAAAACCACCTTGAGCAAAGAAAAGAGAACTTCTTCACCATCGCTAAACCATCTTCCTCACCAACAACAGTATATTCTATTTAATTTCAATTTACACGTTTTATTTCAGGTTATTTACGACAAACTACGAGCAAGGAAATCACAACATCATCTTCAAAAAACCACCTTGAGCAAAGAAAAGAGATTGAAATCTCCTTTTTTAGGTAAAATTTTCTATATTATAAAATTTATTATATTATATTTTTTATATGGCTACAAATGCATATGTGTTGTAACCCGATAATCATCAACTCTTGAAGTATAAATATTTATTATATTTTCTTATAATTCATATCTTTGTCTCTTTTTTTCTATTTCTTCCTTCTTATTTTCATTCTTTTTTTCATTTCTTTGCTCCCCTAAAATCCATCTCCTACCTTCACGCGGTGGGGAGTGAACAGTAATTCTGACTAACAGGAGCTCTGGTAAATAATGTTAGTATTTAGGGTGCTAATAAGAGATATTGTTTCCTTTTTGTAATTTAAAATATAAATTTCGAAATCACATCTCATAAAAAGGAAAATGTCTGATTCATCCATATAAAGGTAAAATATATTATTCATCAATCTTTGAATAAAAAAGACAATTCTTCTCTCTTAGTCTGAATGGGTTGGAATTGGCCTGAAGGAGGAGGGGGAGGGGTAAAAAGAATTATCTTAAAAGAACGAATAAAATTCTCATCCCCGTCATTTTTGACGGGTTATCAACTAGTAATTAGTAATTCAAATGTCGTTTTAAATTGGAATTTGAAGATTTTGAAACTGATATAATATTTTTGGGCACATTTTACATTTGTTAATTATTAAATTAGTTCCTTCATTATAGGATGTTACTGTAAAATATTTATGATATTTGGGCCATGGTAATGTTAATTCACCAGATTTAAATTTTCAGAATGAGATAATGATGATGAAATAATATTCATGCTTGGCTAATCTATTAAATTAAAATATAAACAATAATATTCAAATTAATAAACTATAATAATGATGTGTTAAAAATAATTAAAAAGTATAAAGGAAAATAGTTGATTAAAATTATAAGAGTTTTTTCTTAAAAACTCGGATTAATATTAAATTTTTCAAATAAATTAAAATAAAAGGTGTTTTTAAAATTGAACGAAGGCTAAATTCGAATGCGTTCGTCATAAAAAGGGACGCGTTTACATTCAAAGTTCATCAAAAATAAAAAAAACGCCGTTCACCATTTTTTTCAAAAAAACAAACTTCGTTCACGAACGCGTTCTTACTAAAAGTAAAACGAAAATAATTTGATCAAAAGTGAGGTCCTCTTTGATAAAGTAAAGTTGTTCAAAGGTGAAGCCCCTTTGATAGAATAAAGTTGATCCAAGGTGAGGTCTCTTTATTCATATACAGAAACATATACCATGGGGGGGGGGGGGTGATCATTGTTTTAAAAATATGATAGAGGGTAATTTTAATCTACTTTTTTGCTAAATTAGATTGAGGTAGGAAACAGGTATGAAAAAATATCCTCATTGGCTTAGGGGTGTTGAAGTTCATAAATGGACATGGTTCACTGGCACACGAATTCACCATGCATAGTAGTTCAGGTTTTTGGTTTGCAAAACATTTATACTAGGAATAGAATATACTATATATACATCAGAAAAGTTTATGTAAAACAGTGTCGAGTCACCATATAAAGGTAATTTAGATGCGAAAATAATTTTTAGGCAAGTTAACTTATGCAAAATAACTTCGTATATGTGGAGTTCGTAAATTTTACAGAGTTTATAATTAAGTAAATTTATATGTATTTCATATTAATATATTATTATGAGCTAGGCCAAAAGATATTTCAAAAATTTCCCAAATTATTTCCTAAACCAGTTCGAAACAGATTGGCCTCTATCTCTAAAAATATATTAAAAATACCAATGAAATTTTGATTTAAAACGGAATCTTTATATTATTTTATGCTTTATTTTAAATTAGAATAATATTCAGCGCTATGCTACCAAAATTTACTAACCGGTTTGCTATTTTTCTTATTTTCTACTTACCGTAGAATGTCCTCTCTAGCTTTAAAAATATAGTTTAGTATCATATATTATGTATTTATAGTGCTGGAACATCTAGAACAGCAACTTTTTGAAATCATCATAATTATCACAAGAAGGATTAATCCTAGATAAAATTGATGCTGATGACTCCATTAATTGATATTAGAATGACTTTTGTTTTTCCCATGTTTCACAAATCAATTATTAACAAGATTTGATATATGGGGTCGGGTCTAAATTTCGTATGGTAAGAAGAAATATTAATATTTAAATTAGATTCTCTCTAAATTTGCGATGTAAAATGAAATTGTTCGTTTGTTCTATTTACTAAGTAATCTATATCCAAATAATATAAATATTTGGATAGAATATTTGCTCAGGCGCGTCAGAATCAGCAATATTAGTTATTGAAATATTCTGGTTTCTTCCATATAACTTCAAATGTTATTAAATTAATATAAAAATAATTTAACATTTATAATCAATCCAGTATATCATAAACTGAGGGTCATCCCGCAATCAGCGTCTACATGAGCGAGAGGGGTAGGAACAGTTTGCATAATATTTTTTTGAGGGGGTAGGGGGTAAGCTGCTCTAATGGGGGTAGAATAAATTTTTTGGGGGTTTACCTATTAAATTTTGAGATGAAATAGGACAAAATTTATTGCTGTAAAAATTAATACTTTTATTATAGTATTATTATAATACATTTCATCGACCAAATCTATATATTGCAAACAATCATACACATTGTTTTCCAAAACGTTTAGATATTTTAGCAAGCTCATAATGCCATAATAATTAATTCATTGTAAATAATGGAGGTTTTAATTGAATTTATTATCTAAAAAATAAATTCTTTATATTCACAAAATATCGATAGTTAGCAGTAGAAATAAATTAATTTAAGTTATCCTTTATAAATTTTTTGAAAAGAGTATCAATAAATAAATAGGTGAAAATAATGATAAAGCGACACCGCCGCCGTAGGCGGGGATTTTTTAGGTGGGTAGGCAAAGGTTTTTGAAGGGGGTTCGCATCCAGTGAAAATCCTGTCATGTAGACGCTGTGTGCAATCAATATCACCATAGATCTATTCAGTGATTTTAGGATTCTAATGAAGTCAGTTTAATTAAATTTTGACAACATAACGTGCTTTGTCAATAATCTATTCTTTTTTTAATCATTATTTACATTTTTTAAAGAATCATCTACATCCAAAAATAAATGTTATGCGTTATATAATGTTGGAAATGATTCCAGAAAAAAAAAATGTACCAATATATTTTTAAAATTAAAAATTATTTTTTGAATTCTGAATTTAAAAAAAAGGGTGGAGTACGGGTTCAGCAAAATCTCAAGATTTCAGACCAAGTTCCTGGTTTCCAGCCCTGGGGCAATATAGATGACACGTTCTTTGAATTAAAACGGGATAAAAAATTCTAACATTTATGGACCGTCTTTCTTTCTAGTTCGCCTTTTTTTTGGTCTGATTCAGGTATTCCATTATTTCGGTTCGGCAAAAGATAAGTTTAAACCGGATTATAATTTTATTTTATCCTATTGCGCTCTTCTAAGCCTTGTCTAGTATATATGTTGTTTTAAATTTCTAAAAACTTCAAAAATCAAACTATACGTCGTTTCTGTTACTTTTATTCATTATAAAGATATATTATTAAAACAGTAACAAAATTCCATTTAAATACATATTTCTTAAGAATATGATGGATTTAATATAATCGAGGTAAACAATTTATATCCTAAAAAACAATTTTTTACTTAGGCAAAAAAAATAGGCAAAGTTTATGATTGATTAAAATTTTAATCAACTTCAAAATTTATAAGTTTTTAATTTGAGGACTGGAAAAATTTTGGCGGGCTACGGCTAGCGTTGTTAAACGGCTCAATTTTCGATTTTCTAAAATGGTTAACTCAATATTTATCCAGAAAATATTATGCAAGACGAATAGGCAATATTTTCCTAGCTATAATGTTGAGATGGCCGTTTTTTAAAAATCTGGCAAATCGAGCCATTTAAGAACACTAGGCCCTGCACTTATTATTATTTTCTTCTCTCCTTTATACCATATTTTATTTTTCTTAATTTTATTTACTTAAATTATAATTAATTATTAGTTTTCTAAATAAAAATAATAAATACAATATTCGCTTGAAAAAAACGTCAATATAATATCTGTCGTTTGGCCATATGACAGGTATCATATAATCAGTTTTATTTTTTAGCAAAACCCCAGTAAATTCTCCTGAAATGCTGAAATAGTCAGAAAAATATGGGATTGAGCTGATGCACCCCTAAAAATTAAATATTTTATGACATTTACTTTAATTATTTTATTTCCAACAATTTTAGCCTTTCTTTTTTATTGTTTGTTTTCAAATATTTTTAAAATGAATCTTCCAACAATTTTAGTTTTTCTAATGGCCACAGCTCTATATCTTTTAGGATTAGGTATGCCATATATATTGTAATTTTATTTGCACATTATTATATGAATATACCAACTTAATAGATTAGGTTTATTTTAAATATTTAGTAATTTAATAAAATATTTTTCTTAAACATATAAGATAATTAATATTATAATTTTATATATTGACCCTTATAATAATTTACTTGATATTTGTGGATTTGTAAGAATACATCTGATTTTAGCTTTTAATAAGCTAACTATTTGCTTTAAGTATTTATATATTAGTTTAAAATTATATGCAAATGATACTTTAAATTATACAAAAATATATGTTTTATTTAATAAATATTTTGCAATAATAAAAAAATTATTTTATTTTTATATAACTTTTGTGATGAAAATAAAATATTGTACTTTAATATTTAAATAGAAATATTAATTATTTAATACTTATTGTGATTTAACAAAATATTTTCAATTATAGTTTTAACATTAATGGCATATATTACTTTTTTATTTCCTTTCGAAAATATGAAATTTTTTAAAAAAGATGTACAATATAAAAAAATTATTATGCTTATAATAAAAATATATAATATGTCCAAACGGGTGATTATATTGAGTTTCGAGTAGGGAACAAGGCTGTCTGTATTGGATATCCAATGTTAGTAGGGATTAGTGATCTGCACGGGCCTAATTTTTTAGGCCCGACCCGGCCCGAAATTTTTTCTAAAAAATTTTTCCCGGCCCGGCCCGAACACGAATTTTTTTTAGAAACTTTTGCCGGCCTGGCCCGAACCCAAAATTTTTGCCGGCCCGGCCTGAACCCGAATTTTTTTTAATTCATCCTAAAGTAATAATTATTTTTTTTAGCTTTTAGTTTATTTTTTATATTTAAGATTTTGTTTTTGCAAAAAATATCTTAGTAAACAGAAAATTTATTTAGTATTTAATTATTTATTTAAAATACTATCAAAAATACCTATAAACCAAACAATAATTATAATGTTAAATTACACAACTATATATTGGATTCATATTTATAATTATCATTTAAAAATATCAAAGCATCAACATTTTCTGGTGACAGTCTATTTCTTCTTTCATCTAATAACCTTCCAGTCTTTGAAAAAGTTCTCTCTGAAGTTGTGGACGTTGCAGGAATTGCTAGAATTTTTCTAGCCAATTTTGTCATCTTTGGTAATCTAATTTCATTTTTATTCCACCATTTTAATATATCTTTTTCTGGATCTATATTTTCATTATTCTCTTTTATATTTAAATTCTTATAAATTTCAAGCTCATCTGTTTCTTTTTTTTCATATTCTTCCTCATTGTCCTCCCATCTTTCATATTCATTGCCTGATATATAAAAATAATATAAATAGAACAATTTTAAATGTACCTTTAGATCTTTTAGGCGATTCCACAATTTGAGAAACGCCTTGAATATCCAAATCTATAATATCAATTGAAGGACAATATTCTTCAGAATTAATTATATTTTTGACTGAATTCTCTACTTCTAATATTTCCATTGATGATAACATTCTTAATTTTCTATATTTTGGGCATAAAAATGTCGCTATTTTATGCAAAATATTGATTTTAAATTTAGATAATAAAAAATTTTTTAAATTGGTTTTTATTTCTTTTATTTCATTGTTTTGATAAAATGAATCATTTAAATCCTCGTGAAGAATATTATTAAAGCATAGCAGTACTTTATGTAAAGTAGGATTAATATCTCCTTCTAGTTCTTTAGTAGCTTTATCAAAAGGATATAAAATATCAATCAAATTTTTCAAAATAGATTTCTCCAAGTTTTCCATTTTATTAATATCTCCCTTGGATGATAAAAAATTGACGATGTCATCATATTGGTTATAAATAGATTTCAACATATTTAATTTTAAATTCCATCTAGTTTCGATATCTTGTTGTAATGTTTTGTCTAAATATTGATTCATGCCGGTTTGTTTAAAATACATGGTTAATTTTTTAGCAGAAATAAGGGTTTGATATATATTAGGAGCGATAATTTTCAAAGATTGTTCCTTAAAGGTATTTCGAAGAACAGTATTTAATAGATGTGCGCTGCAATTTAATCTGGTGTATTTTTCTAGGGCTTTAATTATATTAGCTCCTTGATCAGATATAAATATTATATTTTTCATTTGATTGGGAATTATTCCAATTGCAGCAAAATTTTGTAGCATTTCCTTATGTATGTTCGCGGCGGTTTTTTTTCTCTTCTTTAAACTTATTCGTAAATAAAATATGTTTATATAAGGTTTCACCTTCGATATAATGAATTGAAACAGTTAAATAGGAAAACTTTTTTAAAAGAATCTGTCCACATGTCTGTTGTAGCAGAGCATTTTTTATCAAATAATTGAACATTTATTTTATTAACCAAATTTGTTCTAATTTGATCCGTCATAACTATAGCATTTCTCGATAAAGTAGTTGGATGGGGAATAATTTCGCTACAGTCAATATTACCGTAAATGGAGCCAATTTGAATAAAATTTTGAGCCATTTTTATAAAGCCATCTCCAGTTATCGAATCAAAGGCACGCATGTCCTTGGCGCAATAATAGATCAAGGTATCACATAGTTTCTTTTTAATAGTTAAGGAAGAATTTAGATCTATTTTCTTTTGAATATACCTAGTTATTTTAGGAATAGAGGAATCGTCATTCTTAACGCACTTGTGACGTCTTAAATGAGAATTTCCAGATGTGCTTTTATATTGTAATATACTATTACATTTTTTACATTGGACGTAATCAAGTTTTTTGTTTTTATCATCAAATATGTCTTCAAAATTTTCCCATATATTGCTTTTACCTAAATGGGGCATACAAATATATGTTCCATTTTGTATTTGTTTTTTTAAAAAAATTAAATTCATTTTTAAATTATATTTAAAATTTAAGTTTTATAAAAAAACATTTAAATTATTTTACCCATAATAAAATATATATGACATATGGCGTCTACTTTCTAAATAAATAAAATTAAATATTTATATTTTACAAATAAAAAATGTTGCCCTTGTTTCTTAAAAAAAAAGTTTAATTATATATTTATACCAAGAATAAAAGATACATGCTATCATATGGCGTCTAGCTTCTTCAAATAAAATTAAATATTTTTATTTTACAAAAAATATTAGTGCCAATATTAAAAATTTTTTTAAGGCTCAGCCCGACCCGGCCCGAATTTTTTTAAAAAATATTAGGCCCGACCCAACCCGAACCCTAATTTTTTTTTTAAAGTAGGCCCGAACCGGGCCGGGCCTACTTTTGCAGATCTCTAGTAGGGATAGATTGCCCATGGTTGATTAAATTGTCATGACTATCATAATTATAATCAAAATTAAAATAATTTATACCACTTTAATATTATAGTTTATTTAATAAATTAAAATACTCTTATAAAAGTTTTTTTATGAACAAATTAATAAATAAATTACCTCATATAACAGCCTACTTAGATAAACCTGGAAATGGCCTCTAAACAAAGAAAAAATAAAAATATGATATACAAAGGTTGTATTGTGAGGAGAACTAAGCCCCCCCCCCCCTCACCAAATTTTCCCTGCACATGAATTTATTAAACTTGTATAAATAGATGCAGAGTTGTACATTTGCTCAAAATAAAAAGATCTTCAAAAATCGATCGTAAAATTTGAAGATCTTTTATTTTTTAAAAATTTTGTATAACGATATTCATAGATCTTCATGATATTTATTTTTTTACCCCTTTATTAAAAGCCCAGATGTTTTTCAATTTTCATCAAGGCAGGAGGAGAGGTATAAAACATAAAAGAAAAATTTTTTAAAAATAAAAGATCTTCAAATTTTACGATCTTCAAAGATCTTGCTCAAATTTTTGAGCTAGATCTCGCTCAAAAATCTTCAAAGAAGATCTACTCTGGTATCAACTTCGTGTCCATACTGTTTCATCTTTAGAAAAAAATAATGGAAGAATAGTAAAATATTTATTTTAAAAATGAATTAATATACACGAATTTAAAATTTTGGGTTATAAAAAAGCTTAAGGGCCAATTTTTAAAAAGAACCAGATTAAGATTTTAGTTAAAATAATATTATGTAAGCTCCAAGATCTGGCAAATAGAGGTCCAAACCTTTCTGCCATCTATGATCTAAATCTTCAGGCTTATATATTATTCTGGCTAAAATTCTAATCTGATTTTAAAAATAGACACAAATAAGGTGTTTTAATTATCCTAGGGCTGAGCTCCTCTGCCATAAAATTTTAATATTTTTCAAGTGTTAAATTTAAATCCTCTTTATTGTTATAAAATTCAAAATTTTTAGTCAAAAATATTTTTTTTATAGCCTGATGACGCCTTTATAATATAAAATTATAGAAGCAAAAGGTTTTATTTTTCTCTATATATATTCATTATTTTGTCACTCATTAACAATTTTTATGGATATTAGAAATTTAAGGTAAAAATTTTTTTTTTTGAAAATATCAAATGCTAAAACCAAAGTAATAGCTAAGAGTACTGGTTGGAGAAGAAAATGCAATAAGAATCAAGATTTGATGACAGGTTTTTAAAAATTTTGCTTTGTTTTAGTGGTAACTTTATAGGGGCTGTGAGACCCTTAATCCATTGAAATCTATAAATTAGATATTATTGACCCAATATAACAACCCCCCCCTCATAGAAATTCTTTGTCTCCGCTTTGTTTATGCTTAGAGTGAGGTTCACCACCAGCAAGTGGTAGTGATAAATGGTTAGATTTTTAACAAGTTTATAACCAACTCCAAAAAGGCTAAACATAATTTTTAAGCAAAAACTATATCTTAACCTCAATCGAGGTTTAAACTTAAAGGATAGCTCAATCTTGAACAGAAGTCAACTCTTGCACTAAGGTTTAGCAATATTTTATGATTGTTAGGATTGAAATTAATTAACAACATTTTATAGGCAAGAAATAGTTGAATTTTAACAAGATCTTTTAAAAGCTTAAATAGGAAATTTGAAATTTAGTAGGTAGGTTGTTAGGACTAATCAATCTACTTTGAAAGAAATAATTAATTGGGGATATCTTTATCAGCTTCTTCGGTGTCCTTTTGCCAATAAATTTATTTTTATCGATTGACTGATATTTTAAAAAAAAATTGAAACATTAAGATATTCCTAAAGAAAAGTTTAAAATATTCCTTAATAGTGTGTATACTTTATCCTGCAATATAGCCGATTGTGAAAGGGGCTTTCATCCTATAAATTTGATCATGGAATAATCGAGCAAATTTTAGAATAGATAATTTGCCAAATTTAATGGTCTTAAATATAAATAAACTTTTGATACTGGAATAGATTCCAGATCCATATATCAAAATATGGAAAAGGAACCATCACAGAGCAATAATTTTTTCGAAATTATGGCCCCACACCACCAAATTTTTAAGCAATACACTACTAATTAAATAGTACTTTATTTCAATTCACAATTTTTAAATTACTTATTAATTATATTATTTTATTTATAGGTTGAAAATAAAATAAATAAGAAAAACAATAATAATTAGTTACTTTAAATGACAATAGATATTATAACAAAAATATGGAATACTTCCTAAACCAGGAATGGCATCAGGAAATTATTTTATTGGAGGAATAATTTCCTAAAAAAAATTAGGATTAAATGCAACGAGTGTTGTTAAAAAGTAGCATAGTTAGAGTTACTAGTTATATCCTCAAAAACTACTATTCTTAAAGTAACCATATACTAGTTACATTTTAAAAGTAACTAGTTACACTGCAAGTTTCTTTATAAATAATTTATATAATCCATCATTTTTAAAATATAATTCTATCATTTTTTATCCAAATGAAAACACTAGAAAAAATTTACCACAATTATTTGCATTGAAAAAAATATATATTTAACCATACCAACAAAAATATATAATTAAAACAAGAAAATTTTTTATTTTTCAAATTTAGCTTAATAAAATTTAATTTGACTACAACAAACTATTTTTTTAAATTTATGTCTAAAGATTTGCTAGTTTTTTCAGAAAATAAGCTTCCTTAGACTAAACAAACGTTCTACGGGGAAAGTGTTAAAAAACAGTAATTTTTTGATAATTTTTTTTCATACCTTTATATTAAAAATATTAGTGTACATATGTATATAACCATGAATAAATATATTATACCCAATTTTTTAGATAATTATAATAATTTTATTAAGCCTTGTTATAGTTTAACCTCCAAAGGGGCAAAAAATTTTAGGTAAATATAGCAAAAGTTAATTATGTACACTTAATATTGTTAACGTTATGTAATTATATCTGGGATAGTAAAAAGATATATTTTTTTGTAATGTTATATTTGCCACTTTAAATTACATAGTCAGGAATCCGTTTCCCCTTTTGCGGAAATTGTTCAGCAAGTTACTTAAACTAGTCTTGTTAAACGGCTCCAATTAAGCCAATTTTTGAAAACGGCTAACATTTTACCGATAAAAATATTAAAAATTTTACTGAATTGGCTTAAATACGATATTTTGCCCATAAAAGTATTAAAAATATTACGCAGGTCTATAGGTTTTTCTCATAGATTGGCCACATAGGTTTGGACATCTATTGTTGTAATCTGGAGTAGCCGTTTTTTTAAAAAATCGATTAAAATTGAGCCTTTTAACAACGATAACTAAACACTTAAGTTTGCCTATTCAAAAAGGAAATGAAAAACCCCGGATAGACGCCTTCATAAACAGGAAATTTTTTATGAAAAATAAGTATTCGACTGTATTTGATCATGTTTAGGAACCAGATGGATTTAGCAATTTTGTCGGTTACGACTACTCCCTATACGAATCGAATAAAAAAATTGTTCGTATTTGATTCTTTTAAACGAATCGAACAATTTATCTATTTTCAATTAAATCAAATCATGGTGAATTTTATTTGTTATATTTACAATTTTTTTTTCTGTTTTTTGATAAAATAATTTCTTTTATCAAGACGCATTAATTTCGAAGGAACTGATTGCTTATTACAATTTATTATATTTAAAATTGTAACGATCCTTTTTTGATTCATGGATTTTTTGATAAAAAAGAGTTTTTAAAGAATAAAACGAAGAGAAAAAGAATATCATTGATAATTAATTAAAGAATATTGTCAATCATCGGTTATCCTCTTAAATTTAATATTGATACTTTGAAATATATAAAATATGTATAATTTTAAAAATTTTCTGTATTGGGAATTATCTCTCATTTCTTCGACGAATTTTACCATTCTTTTCTTTTTCATAAATTTTTTAAATATTATTCGTAGGAATAGTGAATTTATTGGATTTGTTTTTTTTGAATAAGCATCTTCGGTTCTAAAAGAAGGCAATATATCCGCTGCTCAGCTGGAGAGCGAATGAGCTATCACTGCATAATTCCTACAGTTAAAATCGGGTGAGGGTCTATTATGGTGTGGAGGTGCTTTGGTGCCCGGGTAACCGGCGACATTGTCAAAATTAAAGGAATCCTTAACAAGGAGGGATACCGACAAATCATTGAGGACCATGTGATTTCACCAGGAAAGCGTTTGATCGGGAATAACTTCATTTCAACAAGATAATGACCCAAAGCTTACATCCAGGCTATGCAAAGATTAATTACAAAATCTACAACAACACGGTATTCTCGAGTTGATGACTTGGCCATCCCAGTCTCCCGATCTCAATTTAATCGAAATTTTATGGGATCACCTTGATCGACAAGCGCGAAAAAGCCCTCTAACCACTCATTCGCACCTTTACAGAGAGAATGAAACAATATAACTTCTGAATATTCAAAAAATCTCATCGAAAACCAAAAATTTGTGCAGCAATTATTAAGAATAAAGGTGGTCATATTGATGAGACCAAAATTTGATCTTAATTAATTGCTATGCCTTTTATTTTTTGTAATTTTATGCAATAACTTATAAATAAATTTGATAAACTTTATATTGTGTGTTATTTATTTGTCTTATTTTAAGAAAAATGTTAAGAAAATGCAGGGTGGGCAATCATTTATGGCCGGCTGTAGTGTATATAAAGATATTATGTATATTTATTTACAAAATGACTCATTTTTAACTTTATTAATTCAGAACTATTATGAATGAATGTTAACAATATCATCTATCTTTAATTTTATTTGTGCTGTTATCCTTGGACACAATAAAACGTTGCTGTTGGGTTTCATTTTTTTCTAAAATATACTCTTTTTCTTCTAGTAGAAGTAATCTTTGTTTGAAATTGAATCTTTTTTTAGATTGTTACCATCTAAATTCATCTCGTTTTTTATGTTAAAAATCCATTAGATTCTCTATTCCTTTTCCGAGTTAAATTATTTGATTTTTCTTTCATCTAAAAATTTTTGTTTGTTTTTATTTATTATGTTTACCTGAAGAATCTAATCATATTTGAAAATATAAAATAATAATATTATTTTTATAATTTTGATTTATAAATTCAATATTGATTTTATGATTAACAAGCTTGTTATTTTTTTTCTTCTTTCCACTATCTTTTCTCTATCTCATCTTTAAACTCAAACTCAGTGAGTAATATTATATCAATACTCAATTCGTTATATATTAAAGATAAATATTTTAAAAAATATATATAAGTTTTATTTTATTTTTTTTTTGAAAAAATTAAATAAAATTTTTAAAAAAATACGGTAAAATATATTTAATTGCTTCTCTCATTATTATATTCCTCGATCTCTCTCTATTTCTACAGGTAAATTATTTTGATATGATATATTAATATTTTATTTAATCTTAAAACCTTATGCGCAATTCTATAATCTTGCCCCCTCCCTTCATCTATTGATGCCTCTGGGATTTGAATCATGATATTTTGATGATAAAAAGAATGAAAATAAGTGGGAATAACGAAAGGAATATGATATCTTATTATTTTTTTAAATCGATAATTAAACTTGTTTAATTTTAAAACATTTCAAAATATAATTATGAAAACTTATCGCCATGATTTATATTTTCAAATCGCATATGGTTTATTTCATATATAAATTTATACTAATATATATTTTTTCTTTCAAAAACTGAAATCAACATTTCTTTTTTTAAAAAATAATTAACTCGACACGCAATCCTAGTTATTCTTATGAACGTTAACATCTCAACGCCAATTCTTCCCGATGGTATGTCGGAACGGAAGGAGTCCCTGAATATTCATTTCCACGATTACGACGATAAATTTGCACGCGAAATAGATGGTCCAAATAAAATGGATTATAAAGCTAAAGAAGGTATTAGTAACGGGGTCGTCGATTATAATAAGCGGCCTGTCGAAATGAATAACGGGATATATTCTAGGGATTACCAACGTTTCGCGTCTACCAAACAACAAAATTTACCGAACATTAAAGAGTGAGTTTTAAAGAGTGAAAAAGAAAAAAAAAGAAATTTAATTATCATCTCAAAGTTTAAAATTCACTGCAACTTGTCTAATTTGGCCCCCCTTTTAAATTTTTATTTAAAAAAAAAACTTGTTAAAATCCGATTAAACTAGTAGGGCCGATGTTTAGATATTTATTTATTTTTACTCATATCATCTCCAAAGTTAGATTTATCTGGTTTTTTTAGGGATAGGGTGACATTTATATCATATTATTTTATTTTTTTGGGTTAATCATTATTTTTTATTTTAAGACGGATGAAGGTATTCTATTACCCAATGCAAAAATTTCCAAATGATTTTAATAATTAGATGGAAGTATATTTTTCTAAAATAACCGACTGTAAAGAGTCTGAAAAATTATTTTTAAAGGCGACTTTGGGAAAATCAGACAGAACGAAATAAATAAAATCTTTTCCTTTGAAATGAATTTAAAAAATTGTAAAAATTTTAGCATTATACTTTTGGGACTAAAAGCTTAACCAACATCAGGTTTTCGACCAAATCTAATGTAATCTAATCCTAGCTGCACACGTCAGACCTTGGCCCAAATGTGAAATTCTTTTTAAATAAATTTTCAGATATATGTATAGCTCCGGGTTTGTGCTCAGAGCTGATTTAGTTAATTTTTTAGACCCAAGCCCCTGGAATGGTCTTATACAAGTTGTATAAGTATCCTTGGATTTGTTTTTTTATTATTCGTTATAAGTATTATTTATCCTTGGATTTATTTTTTTTTATAATTTATATAATATATTTATTTATTTTTATAAAAGATTAAATATTGCTGATCACGTTAAAACGTTGGAAGAAAGGATCAAAATTTTAGAAAAAAGGTTTTGATTAATTTATTGAAAATATAAAATTTTGATTTTGGCAAACTTCAAAAAAATTTTAATTTTTGATCTCATATTTGAAAGATTTTTTATGCTTAAAAATTTACAAAAGATTTTATTATGAAAGATTTTGACATTTTTTTTTGAATGTTATTTTTTTCAAACTCCGAAAAAAACAAAGAAATAAAGGTAATTTATAATTGAATACGAGATCATCATCTCAGTGTTAAAACGAATTATCTTAAAGACAAATGATAATTGGCTTTTTAAATTTGTCAATTTTAATATGCGATGGACAAATTATTTTAGTAATTATTGTTTATCAATCACTCCACCACGAAGACGATATGGTTAGATCAAATAATATAATGGTAAAGGTTTATAAAAAAAATAACCCCTCCCCCCACTCCATCTCAACTGGTACCAAATTTGATACAATCATATGTTAAATGATTGACAGCCATCGTTTTCATCTCACATAAAATTAAATAATTTTTATGTAGAAATGGGAGATTTAAAAACAAAAGGTTGATGGCAACAGTAAATAATAAAATGAATTATAATGGGATTAATTGCTCAAAGATTTTATAAATCAATAGTAATTATTATCCAAAGGCTAATTCGTACATATCCCATTTTTTATTATCATATATAATTGTATTATAATAGCATATTAGATTAATTATCTAAGGAAAATTTTATGACAATAATATATAAGATCATTAAATAGAAAGAGGGGGGGGGGGTTTGAGAGATAATGAATATAAATGAATAATTTTAATATGTACATCTACATCAATTTAATATAATATTATTTTTAGAAAGAAGGAAAGAAAATAAAAAAAAATTTAATAAATAATTTAGCAAACTATCATTACAAGAATATTTTTTAAAAAAATTAAATCACTGATTGAAGTAGACGGGAGGGGAAGGCAAACTTATCCGGATCAATTAAAAAAAAAATAGGTATTTATTTTATTTTTGAAATTGTCCAAAATTGGTAGAAATTTTGGCTTTCTCAGATATCGAAAAGCATTTCAAATTGAATGTCCTATTTTTTAAAAAAAATTTATTTTTTTGTATATTATATATTTTTTTCTTCTTTGCTTTGTAACGAAAATAATTAATTATGTTGTTTTATTTTGAATAAAATTTACTTTTTCACTTTTCAAGTCTATTATATATTTATCTTAAAATTTATATAAACAAAAAAGTCTCAAAAGTTTTCCCGATGTACCGACCTTAAATTACAAAGAAAGAAAACGGATATTAGTAAAATTTTCTTTATTTTATTTACTCATTACTTAAAAGTTGTCAGGAAAGAAAGAAAAAAAGGAAATAGATAAGTAGTAAGAAAGCTTGAAAGCTTACTGTTATCTAAAAAAAAACCTCATTTTCTCACGCCAAAAAAAACTAGATTGTAGGTGGCGCCGGATTTGTCGGATCTCATTTAGTGGATAGATTAATGATGAGCGGTCACGAGATAACGGTTGCCGACAATTTTTTTACGGGTCGAAAACGGAATATAGAGCACTGGATTGGTCACCCTAACTTTAACCTCATAACTCACGATATCGTTAACCCATTATATATCGAGGGTATATTTCTTTTTTTTCCTTCAAAAATTATTCTTTTTAAATTTTTAATTTTTTTTTATAATTTCTGAATTGATAAATGTTAAATATTTTAGGCAGAATAATAGGAATTAGATTATATGGAAATAATGCAATAAACATAATGGTGTATTTAGGTAGGGAAGCACAGATACCACTTGGGCCAATCTGGTGCGATATTAATTAATAAATATGGTTTGGTATTTAGATTTAATATGGTTCGATTTGACCGTAACCTAATATTTTAGCCAAAATAATTATGAAGCCTCTAGATTTCGTTATAGACTGCCATCGATGAGCAAAATCTTCAAGCTTGTGTAATATTTTGGCTAAAATATTGCTTTTAAAAATTGATAGGTTTAACAACACTAATTTAGGCCACGTTTATAGTGGGAATCTATCATACATGTAACAGCTAATCAATTTTTAAAATCCGTTTTATGAGATCGATTTTTCTTTATTGAAATCAATATTTGTTAGATTATTATCATGAATAGAATTAAAGATAAAATTTATATTAATAAAGAAAAACTGATCTCATAAACACATTTTTAAAAATCGGTCAGCTGTTAAATAGTGTCGGATCAGATCCCACTATGAATGCGGCCTTAGATATGGTCAACGTTTCCGTTAGTCTACCCTACAGATCTAACAGTAAAAACAAGTTGTAATCTGTAGATGAAGATACTTCTGTTCCACTAGGTTTATAGAATCGATCTGCATATAGTCGACCATTTTTTGTCCGAGGGGTGGTCTAAACCAGACCATTGACTTTCTTTAGGGGTATTAGAAGTTGGCATAATAAATCATCAAAATCGTTACGAAAATTACAGATATTTTGGGTTATATAATGATCCGAGTTGAGCCATACTGCGAATACCCCTTTTTTTTGACTTTTTAAATGTGATACCTGTAATGTGCGCGTTGAACAGAATGCGTAAAATAACAATGTTTTATCAGAACCTGTTTATATAATGGCAAAATTTTGTCACAATATTTGACGCCAAAATTAAGATTAGTTTCTTTTGCTTAAAAGAAAAAAAATTATTCTATTTTTTGCGTTTCAAAAGTGATTGTTTTAAATTTATTTTGGCAGATGCCAAATATATATTTTTTTAACTAGGGCAATATATATAACGATATTATACCAAAATTTTAAAATACATATTTTTTTAACACCTATCTGCAATTTTTCTCACGCACTAAATATTTTTTTTTAAAATAAAGATAATTGAAAAAATGATTAATATGTTTTTAATAATATTGTAAGTTGATTAAGTTTTCTCTAACTCCTTTTACTAACATGAGCAAATTTTTTTTTTATACTCTCTATTTCTTCTACAATACCCGCCATTCAAACTAAAATCGAAATATAGCCACATTCATATGTTAACACTGATCCGAATTTTTTGACATATTTACTGTAAACATATCTTAGATTGGATTACATTTTATTGCTCTATCTGAGCTAATTTTTATCTAAAATAAGAGGCTATTCGCAGTCAAGAGTTTTGAACTCTGAGGCTGTTTACTTTATATCAGAGACATGCAGGCCCAATCATAACCCCGGGTACACGGGCAGGGTCGTATTTTAATTTTTTAAAAATACCAGGGCCCGGCCTAAAATAAAATACCCGGGTCTGGCCGTATATTTTAGAACCGAATATTTTAAATTGTGAATGGTACCTCTACAGGTCTCTGCTTTGTTTTATATAGAGTAAAAGTGGATAGTCAATAATTTAAGAGAATAAAATAATTTTTATAACAAATTTTTATGAAAATTTAAGAATTTGTTTTCTAGCGACCGTATTTTGTAACCGCCTAGAATTTCGCTCTTATTCTTTTTTTAAGTCGGACCTAAGATGTAAAAAATTTTTATTTGGATTACTCATATTTTTTAACTGAAAATTTAATAATTCGAGTACAATTTTATTTTCTTAAATTTTTTATTAAAGTGGACGAGATATACCATTTAGCCTCTCCCGCATCTCCGCCACATTACATGTACAACCCGGTCAAAACGGTAAAAACGAACACATTAGGAACTATCAATTTATTAGGTTACTTTATGTTTTATTAAAAAGGGAGTTTGTTTTGATTAAAAAAAAAATTACATTATTTTTGCGATAATTAAATTAATTTTAAATTTTAATTTGCAAATTCAGCATTTTTTTAATTAAAAAAATGTTTATTTTTTTTTTATAGTTAAAGTATTATTATTTGTAGTGATAACATACTTGCCTTATCTGTCTTAATATACCATAATCTAAAGGTCGTAGAATTTTTTTTTAATCAAAATAATCAATTTCCTTCCTTGCCTCAACTAACTTGGATTTATTGGGATTCAACCAATTTAAGTATAAAATATATGCTTCTTTAATAATGAAGGCCAAGTCCAGTCAACCTACGATTAGAATCAGATATAACCAACTTACAACCAAGTTAAATTTGACCTACCTGGCCCGGATCCGTTTTTAGGACTGAGATATTTTTCTATCTTTGGGTGTTGACGGCGACATTCACCATTCTTTAACATGTTTTTTCTGATATCGCGTTTGTATCTACCCGTTAACCATAATTCCTTTATTCAATTATATTTTATCATTCTTTTAATAAATAATTTCTACCTTAAATTAAGCACAATAACTAATTATTACACATTTATTTTTATTAGGCCTTGCCAAAAGAATCAAAGCTCGACTCCTGCTGGCTTCGACAAGTGAAGTCTACGGAGACCCATCCCAACATCCCCAGTCCGAGACCTACCGGGGCAATGTGAACCCCATAGGTCCTCGATCTTGTTACGATGAAGGCAAACGGGTCGCCGAAACTCTGTGCTATGCTTACGCCAAACAAGTTAATTAATATAAGTTTTTCGGTTTTTTTTTAAAATGGGAAATTTGTAAATGACATCTAAAGTGATGGATGGCTTTTCCTTTCCTCTAAAAATTATATAATATATTTTAAAAAAACATGTTTTTCGGATAACGCTTATAAACCTTATTTTGCAAAAATAAAATTGACTCCGTTTTAAAAAAGGACAATGTCGATGTTCGCGTAGCTCGAATATTTAACACGTACGGACCAAGAATGCATATGAACGATGGGAGAGTTGTCAGTAATATAATATTGCAAGTCCTCCAAAACGAATCAATAACGGTTTCAAATTTTTTCAAATTATATATTTGTCATTTTATGACTTGTTTATTATTTTTTTATAGAATTTATTTTATATATATTATTTTTGTAAGGTTTATTTTACTAAAAAAATCAAATGAAAATAAATTTTATAGATAATATCTTGCACAAATCTTTTCTGGAATTATTAGATGGTTCTAACTACTTTTTGTTCAAAATAAGGTCAAAATTTTATAAGGGAATCCAAACTCCACCTCCACATTTAAAAATAACCTTTAAAGACCAGATGGCAATGTTGAAATATTAGAATACCTTATGAATGAATTATATTTAAAAATTATATTTTTAACCTGAATGAAAATGTTTCTATTTTCTTAATTTTTAAAAATTTATTTCCTGTTACTAAAAGTTTTAAAAATGGAGTTCCGGCTTCAACTCTTAGATTTGGCACGGTTTTAGGCTCTTGTAACGGTTTCTACTAATTTAAAGAGATAATTATAATTACTAATTTTTTTGTTGAAATGATATACCAGATATATGGCAAAGGTGATCAAACAAGGTCTTTTCAATACGTTTCGGATCTGGTCGACGGGCTGATATCCCTCATGAACAGTAACTATTCTCAACCCGTTAATTTAGGGAACCCCCACGAAATTACGATATTAGAATTCGCTAAATTCGTAAAAGATTTCATACGTAAATATATGTTTCTTTACTTTGAAAGACATTTATTATAATTCTATTTAGATTTTATTTACTATTTGAATTTATAGTTATTTCTCATTTGTTTTCGCGTTTTACGCTCATGCCCTACACTTGTAGCTTCTTCTTTGTTTAGTGGCCCGTTCCAGGTTTCACCCTAATAAGACAATTTCTCTTCTAATACTTTTTCCCATTTTCCGCTGTCTAGAGTATTACCATTTTTCACCCAATTTGTCTTTTGTCATCTAAATAAGGCAGATGGTTTGATTTTGGGAAAGTGCCTTACCTATTCTTTGATAATATAGTATTTAAAGGCATATCAATCTAGTGAGAGTGACCCTCTCACTATGAGAATTTATCTCTAGTTTTGGGGTGCCTTTTCTTCGAAACCCTCCCGCCTTGGGGGCCTGCGGTAACTTATGTTACGCTTATAATGTTGTAGTGTCTAAAATTTTACAATTCATAATCTTTATTTTGATCATAATATAGCAAAGTCTAGCAGCGCAATAATATATAAACCCGGTTTACAAGATGATCCTCAAAGGAGGTGCCCTGATATCGCTAGAGCTAAAAGCATTTTAAAATGGATGCCTCAAGTTAGATTAGATATAATTTTATTTACTACAAAAATATAGTATAATGATTGTTATTAATTTGTTATTTTTAAAATGAACTTGATTTATTATATATAATACTGAATTAATGTGGCTATTCTGGTTATTGTATTTAACTAAGTTCTTTATATGAAATTCTTATTGCAGATATAATATAAATTCTAATTGGATTATTCGTAGTTTATTTTAGTTTCATAAATATCGTTCGAATTAGTGAAATAATTATTCGATTCGCCAAATATTCAATTTGATTTGTTTAATATTAGACCCTTTTATTATTTTTCAATGTTTCCATAAGCGAGAAAGATCGATTACTTATATTTAAAGCACTGCGAGGAACATATTGAATAATCATGATTTTTAGTGTTGTTCAAAGACTCATTTTCAGCCGATTTTTCAAAACGGCTAACTCAATATTATAGCCAGAAAAATATTGCCTAAGCCTCGAGATTTCGATATTATATGTCTAGACATTTGTTCCTTTCATGAACAAAATAATCAGGCTTGCGTAATATTTTTTGGATGAAATATTGAGTTAGTCGTTTTTAAAAATCGGCTCAAAACGATCCGTTTAATAACATTAATGATTTTAAATATATAGAAATAATTTTTAATAATAAATACGGATATTTTTTTAATTAATAATTTCAAATAATTAGATTGAATAAATAGAAAAATTATTTCGACGAACAATTTCCTACGATTTATAAAGGAATAACGAATTTTTGTTTTAGGCTTATACACGTAACCTTTAATTACTTACAAAAGATGTAAACATTATATCTGTAAAAAATTGTTCTTTTTTTAAAAAAGGTCTCATTAAAGGAGGGCATCCTTATGACTATTCATTACTTCGCCAAAGAACTCAGACTCAACGGGTTTTCCAGCCACGAGGAAACATCCGAAGGGCACATAATAGACTACGATGATTATATAAACAATAACCATACCGAATTTAGGAATAATAAATTATAAATAATTTTATATTTACTATTTTTTTAAAAAATTAAGTCATTTAGATGTTTTATTAATTATTTAATGAATCCCTCAGTTTTCTGCTTAAATTAATAATAATGAATACTTGTAAATTTTGATAGGTGCTTTATCTCATCCTATTACATATTTTTCTCTTTTCTTTTTAAATCGTGATTTTTTATTTTATTTTTCTTCTAAATCATACATTTTATATATTATGATATCGAAAAGAAGAAGAAATATGTACATTATTAAAATTCAAATATTTATATATACCCCCTCCCCCCTCCAATTAATGTCCCACAAATTTTTTAATATTATATTTGGGAGACTAATTTCATTCCTATTTAACGATCTCTTAATATTGATGAAGAATTATTATATTAATTTATTGATGGTTGCATTATTTCATTTCATTCTTTGTTACCTTTTTTTATGCCCTTCTCCCTTTAAATGTCACCCTGAATTCACAGTTAGCGCGAATTCGCGGTGAAGTATAAATATGATATAAATGTGGCATAGCATTAATTTTTGTATACTATTCCACGAATTCACACTAACTGTTAATGCAGGGTTAATTATTTAATTCTCATAGACATGTTGGAGATGATATTCAAATAAATTATGGCATTAAACCTGATTTTTGAATGGAATTCTCATAGATGCTAAAAAAAAATTTTTAAATATTCACACTGTAATTATTATTTCTAATTATAATTAATATAAATTATAAAGACAATAGACGAATCATTGCAATTTTGTATCTTATACTGCCCTGCCCCTATTTATTAAATTAATGAAAAATTATATTATTATTTATTTACTGTTTAAAATTATTATTTATATTGAAATGCAATCGTGAAATTTTAATAAAAGCAAATAAAAAATATGTAATAATATAATCAAGAATGATTTAAACTTTTATTTAATCAGTGGCTTCGCTACTAAAAAGTAATTTTAAAATTACTCGACTAAGGGAATAATAGAGCCATATTACTTAATCTTTTTGAATATAAGGTAAAATAATTTTTTTTTGTGCAAAATAAAACAAATAAAATTTAAATTGTAAAATTATTAAATCCAATTTAGAATTCAACTTAACAATATATTTACGAGGATTCAAATCTTAACTAATATCGGTTCCAGCTTAGGTTTATATAAAAAAATAACTAGAAAATAATTTTTTTCAAATTTATACATTATTTTTCCCTTGTTTTTAAAAGCATTGAATTACATTTTGCTTTCTAGAGTAATAAATTGATCCATTTTTGATCTTATATGTTTTGAATTTATTTTAATCGTATATATTTAATAAAAATTTAATTTCTAAATCTAGCGACCTCTGAAAATATTCAATTACATAGTAATTAAATATTATGGTCAACATGTTCCTAATGATTTTTTTAAAAATATCAGTCAATCAATAACAAATGGTTCATAAACAATAGGGCACCGAAGAACTTGATAAACAAAATATCTTTATTATTACTTTCATAAGTGATTTATCTTAACAACTATACCTATTTGAAAATTTCAAATTCCTATTTTAATATAAAGATTTTGTTAAAATTGGCCCATTACTTGCCTATAGTGTTGATAAAACAGCTTTATTCTAACAGTCGAAAAATTTTGTTAATTGGGGCAAGAGTATTTTTTTTTTCAAGTTAGAGCTATCTTTTAAGTTTAAACCTCGATCAGGACTATGAAAATTTTCGCTTAAAAATTTGATTAGCCTTTTTAGAGTCGGCTCAAAACGTCCTAAAAATAGAGCTATTCATTGCCACTATTGGCTGGTGGGGAACCTCACTCTATACTTTAAATAAGAGAGAAGCGGCGGTGATTTAAAATTTATTTTTATGTGGATTATAATTTTTTTAAGGATATGTGATGCTCAAAATATTAATGGGTCAATAAGATATATTTTATCGAATATTTATATAAGTCGATAGTTCCACTAGAGATTTGCAAATCAAGGTTGACCCCAAACAGGTTTCGGGCCAGGTTTTTTTTTAAAAAATAATTTCGAATTGGGCTGGGGTCCTAATATTTTATAAAAAATTTTGGGCCGGAGTTTTAATTTTTAAATATGATAGATAACATTACATTTTGTCAAATAAATAGATATATTTATAAATTCTTACAAGAAAAGAATATATTTTTATTTTGTAGAATATTTTTTTCATTAAATAAATTCGGGCCGGGCGAAAAAATAATTTTTATTTCTAGTTGGGCTTTTCGGGATGAATAAAAGAAAATTTCCTTAAGAATCGTGACGAGAAGGACAAATTTTTTAAAAAATTTTCAGGGGCAGGGCTTGAAAAATTAGGAGGCCCGATGTAGATCACTAGGTCCCACTACCCGACGTAGAATCGGCACCACTGGAGTAATTAAACCTCTCACTACTGTCTCTAGTTATTGGATTTTCTTCTTCAATTAGTATCTTTTTTATTAGTTTTTATTTTAATATATTTTTATTATCTTGATATCTCTTTTAATATTCATGAAAATTGTTAAAATGAGAGAAATCAAAATTTTTATTTTAGTTGATAATAAAATAAAAATAATGTAAAAAAAATATTGAAAAATAATAAAACTTTTTATTTCTCTATCTTCATGTAGCCATAGAAAAGATATGAAAAGGAAGAAAAAAATTTCTATCTAAAACTGTATAAACATTTTAATTTTTATAATAAACTAGAAGATAGCCCGTCAAAAATGACGGAGAATGAGAATTTTATTCGTTTTTTTAAGAAAGATGTTACCTTTTATTTAAAAATCATATCCAATTTATATTATTTTTAAACCCCCCCCTCCCCATTTAGGTCTAGTCCAACCAATGTCACTGAGTACAACCCATTAGGACTAAGAGTGGAAACTATTTTTTGAGTCAAAATATATTTAAATGCTTTTACCCAATATCAAAATTCTTTGTAAATATATTACTGATTAAATAAGACTAACATTTAACATTAAAAAATTTCAAGCCAGGTCCAAGCTCATAATATTTGGGAAAAATTTCCAAGCGTCCAAGACCTTATAATTTTTTAAAAAAATTCTCAAGCCTAGCTCAACCCATAATAATTTTGAAAATTTTTTCCTAGACCGGCCCATAATAATTTGTAAAAGATATTCCCAAGTCAGGTGCAAGCAAATATTAATCTTGAGGAATATTTTCCAAGCCCAGTCCAACCCATATTAATTTTCAAAACTTTTTCCCAAACCCGGAGATAGTTAAATTTCTAAATAATTTATCATCACATGAAGGGGAAATCTCGGATTTACCAATTACTGGGCTAACTCCTTTTATCAAAAAATTTGATAAGGGCTATCTATATCTTTATGTTAAGTACAAAAAAATGCTATCTATAAAAATGCCATTCAATACTAATGAAACTTATATGCAATTTATTTATATATTTTTTAAGAAATTTGTTTTTCTTGCCATATAAATTTAGTTAATTTTTTAAATAAATGATGAGGATTAATTATTATTTTGTGTGTCTGATAAAATTAAGAACAAATCCTTTATGACATTTTTTGATGGAAAAAGCGACAAAATAAATCTGGGCAGTCGTTTGCAGAGGAAATAATTAATGTATAATATCATCCCATTTAGGGTTGTAGGTGAAAGTAATGAATAATGACGGATTACCAAAGCGGTGTACAACACCCATTGCGTCCTGATAAAGCTGAGGCCTTGGGCTACTGGTAAAAGAAGAACGCAAAATGATATTTCTGCCAAAGTGTCAGTTTTGGTATCCTCCTCTAAAATAGAATCATGAACGACATTGTCAACTCAACCATAAAACGGTCGTAAGTATTGTTATAAAGGCCATGACAAAACTACCGCATATTTCCCCATTAATAATGTTAATGAAATTGGCCGCACTACACATTCACGTTTGAACATTCCTATAAATATTCATGAATGTTCCTCAGGGAATCGGATAAAGTATTATTTTATATTAACTCCTAGTGAGGTGAATGATAGTGGAATTAAATGCTTATATTTGTTAAAAATTAGGCAGAGGTGGCCTAGGGATTGTGGTAGTGGTAGGCAACTGGGTGAATATAAAATAACCATATAGATTTAAAACATTAGATAAAAAACAAAATAAACCTCCAGAGGAGTTCACAGTTCCTTATTATCTTGGCCACCAGTAACTCTAGAACGGGTAAGGCGTTTGTTGAATCGGCATTTTTTTCTTTGCTTTTAATAATAGATTCATCATGTTTTGTAACAATGTGAGGGATTAAGATTGGGTTAGCCTAGACAAATAAAGAAATCAGCCTAAATATAAATAAACTATTGTTGCAATTAAACAAACATTAATATACTGTAAACCTGTAGAGTAGTCAATATTAGAAGTATATTTCTAGTAGTTGGGGAAATATAATCAAAAAAAATATTTGGGGACTTATCAAGCCTATCATGTTCTTCTAAAGGTTTTGAAGAAAACAAGAAAATAACAAGTTATATTTTGTGTTTTGGATTAAATTTTATTTCTACTTTTAAAAATCAAATAATAATAATATGTATAATAATCAACTGGTATATATACTTAAACATTTCAATAGATATTTAAATTAATACTCAATTAACATCAAAATAAATTATTTCACCATTTTGAATAAACAACACAACATTCCCCTCCTCGACAAAGCATCAAGTTGCTGCTCGGTGGGCGCATAAGTCTGTCTGAGTCGCGTGAGTCCATACGTTTTCGTAGGTTTGTTAAAATTGTTTTACGTTATCATTATCATAAGGAATAATTGATCAAATTTGAATATATGGAATACGGAATAAAATTTTAAATTTGGGAAAAAGAATTTGGAATAAAAATTTTGGAGTATGGAATGATAAATATGTAGAATTCCGTAAGAAAGATAAATCAAAAAAGATAATATAAAATTTCGCGTTTTTTTTAAATTTTGCGTTTTATATATTTTATTTTAATAATTTAAGTAGCCTTTTAATATTTTATTTGTAGCGTTTTAATATTTTATTTTAATAATTTAAGTTGCGTTTTAATATTTAATTTATTTTTATTTATTTTCAATCTCCGAGGTTTAAATATGCAAATAAAATATTATTCACATTTCCCTCTCTTTAAATAAAAAATTTAAATTTCACACCCTAGTTTTAATTCAAAAAGTGTTATTTTTAATAAAAATTCTTCATAAGATAATTTTTAGAAAATGATCTCATCACATCATTTAAATACTTATCTAAAATGAAGATGCTACATAACTTGTCTTCAAAAGCTTTATTTCAAAAACATTTTTATCATATTAAGTATTACTTATAAGGGTTATTTAAATCAATCATGTGATTTAAACCTTTTAATTCATGTTTTAATTACATTTTAGTATATTTAAAATTAAAGTTTTATCTTCTTGTTTAGGATTTTTAATGGTTTATTTTTAATATATCTAAAAATTCATCCTTAGGTTTAGTTAATTTACAACAATTGGTCATCATACAAGAAATCAAAAAAATATCAATATTTCACTAAGAAATTAAGTAAATAATTTTTTTAAGGCTTTTTATGTGTTCAAATATGTCCATTATTGATTTACATTTAAGTTATTTTAATAAGTAAATTTACAACATGCCTTTATCTCGGCATAAAATTTTAATTTATGATAACTTTTCTTCTTACGTGGATTAGAATAATAAGTAATCATCATTGGTCTCACAATATAGAATTCATAACCTAACGTCCAACTTCCATATTGGTTCTTTCTAGGTTGTCACATTAGGTTAGGTGCTGGTTATCATATTCCAGTCCAAC